ACTTTAAAAATATGACTTGAGATTATTGAAAAAGATATGCAAAATTATGTTAGGACTTATGAGTATAATATTATATAGGTACGCACAGTAGCCTGTAGTGGAAATTACTCAAACTATGCAGGGAAATGTATAAATTGTAGATTTATAAATTAAGAGGTTAGAAGGTTTATAGATGACCGAAAACAATACCGATCAAATATAGAAGTACCTATAGATATGTCATCACCAGGGCTAGGATTTGTATGCAATAAAATTGTAAATATGCATTTTATTTATCAAAATATGCATTTTAAATTTTTTTATAAGATAAAAACAAAAGTATAGTTATGAAAAAAATATTTATTTATTGAAATACATCACATTGGGTTGTTTGTCTTAAATGTGAATTATAAATTTATTTTTATATTCTTCAATTATATTATCTTAATAGTTTAAATATGTGTGTACATGCTACTCTTTATCACATAGGTACCTATTGTCCATAGGACTGTATTTATAAAAATAAAATTTATGTTTAAAAACCAAAAACTTTTATTCTTTAATTAGCAGGGCTAGAATTAAATACGAAATATTAATATTAAATAATAAATATTAATTACAAAATATACTATAACATATGCATTTTTCTCATTCTTATAATCGAAATATGCAATAATATGCATGTTATCCAAAATATGCAAAAACATGGAAAATAAAAATACCACTAGCTATCTCATCATGAGGTGATTCGTGACATTACTGACAAATCAATAATCAGAAGTTGCAAAAAAACATGCAGACATGCAGTTACATACAATCCTATCCCTAATCATCACTTTCGAGTAGGTAGGTACTGATTTAAATTTATAGTTTTAAATAAATAAAACTGCTTGATTTTTCGTTGCAATATAGCAATTGAAACAATGCATAATAATATATAAATGTCTCCCTAACCTATTTATATATAATATTATATATTTGTCTATTGTTCGTGAATCGTTTATCAAAATGTAAACTATAATAATATATATTAGGTACCTATAGTCATTGTTTTATTCGTCATTAAAATGATTTTAAAAGACACGTATTATTGTTATATTACATAAACAAAATTGAGATTTGTGTATATATAATATAGGTAAATACGTTTAAACTACTGTATAGCAGAGCGGGTCTAGAAATCTAAAATGGGGAGGACTACATTTTTTTTTTCAGAAAATTGACAAAGATAAATATTATTACTACATTATATACATTTTTCAATTATTATTTTGTCCAAAACGCACAATTATCCATGTAACACGTAGGAAAACTGTGAAACTACTATAACTGAGCAGTTTTTTTTGTTCGCAGGCATCGAATAAAATCACACAGTCCAACATTTTGAACTGTGCATTTTCAAATACAGTTAGTTTGCGCAAAATTGAGTTTATACTGTAGGTTTTCGCAGTATAATTTAACGTGTAAACCCCTCACTTAACTACTTAAGGCTAAGTCACTGTAATGGATGTGTTCAATATTTGAATTCAATGATAAATTAGTAATTATAAATATGAAAAACAAATTTGAGAGGAAACTGTATAATATCATCGTATAATATTTTTAAGAATGTTTTATTAATTATATATATATTTATTAGTTATATTTAAATTTGGTACTAATTTATGTTTCTATTGGTAAATAGTAGGTAATATTGGTTGACTGAACTAATTTTTACCAACGAATCGCATAAAATATAAAATAATAATTAACTATATTACCTATAACTTTAGATTTTACGACTATACATTTGTTTTAAGAACGTTAAAAATGTAAAAACTTATGACATTATATCCTTTGTTAAATTATCTATATACACATTTAGTAGTATAGTAATTATTACATTGTTTATTTTATCTTACACTTCATATTGTACGGAGCTCAACCTTATTTACCCCCAAAATAAGTTGTATGTTTAAGGGAGTTATAAAAACAAATACCTAGTATAGTTTTGTTGATCAGTTTAAAATTGTATATTGTTTTGCTAAATAAAATTATTATTATTATAATTTATTAATATTATATCATAATATATTAATAATAAAATATCATTGTTAACTTAAATTAAACTTGTTATTATTGTTATTATCTAATTTAAAAGTTAATACCGGCGTACAGTAGAAATAAACTATAAGTAAATATAAATAAACCTTAAAGTTAATCTAAGTATTTGAAAAACTAATTTCATATGGAAAATAGTAATACATCTAATGGTGAGAAGGCTTGACCCTATGTTTATTATTTTTTTACTTAAGCATGGCGACTATGGCCATTAGTTGTTGTAATGGTTATGAACTGTGGTTGGTAAGATTGTTAAAGTAATGTGTTGTAAAGGTAAGCAACACATGCCTGTGTGGCAAGGTTTTGACTACTATACGAACCCAGGTGGTCACCCATCGGCCATCAGTTAGTAGCTGCGAACGTTACTTAATCTCAGGCGCATTGCGCAAAGCGCCGCTCCAAGTCCCTATGTTTAATATTTTATAAATTATGACAAAATAGCTAGAATCCATAGAGGAAAAATCGATATTTTACATTTAAATATTGAATATTTAGTCAAAATTTTAAATTATAAATAAAAATTGTGACTATGTAAATTCTATAATTTTAAATAACTATAAGACAAATAGATGAAGAACATTGTATTACACTATCAAGTTTCAAGTTAAGTGTGTCGGTGCCGGTCATTTATTAAGGAGTAAAGTTTAGGCAATTCAATTTACTTGTTGTATCGGCCTCTCCCGGAACGTGGTCATTTATTAAGGAGTAAAATTTAGGCAATTCAATTTACATGTTGTATCGGCCTCTCCCGGAACGTGTATATTATGTGTAAGTATGTAAATCGATATTAGTGTGAGTGTACGCGCTGGTAAAGATGTACATATCTTTCTCACACGCATGCAGACTTGCTAGACTTCGATGAATATTATTGAAGAACTATTTTGATGAACAAAAATGGTTTCACAGCAAAAACTCTCTCGTAGATATGTCGGATTTTGGTCAATTTTTTTTATCTGAAAGATGAAAAGTTTCTGCAGGTTGGTTCAAAGCTAGAATTTTTATTTTACTTTAAATAGTAGTAGAAAAATAAGTTTGAAAAAGGACAAATATTGTGCATTTTTCAAATGCATATTCCAGTTTCTACAATTATAATTTTTAAAATCAGGCTTTGATCCGACCTACAAAATGTTCTCTACTTTAAAAAAAAAAATTAATGAAATCCGACAATTCTACAGGGCGTGAGAGATTTTCCTGTAAGACATGTTTTTGTACCAAAAAACGCACCAGCTCCGACCCTCTTAAAGGTATTAAAATTAAAAAACACATCTAGGTTTTGAAATTTTAAACTACCTACCAAACAATTTGCAAGTTTTCGTAATTTTGACGAATTTTGTCAACATTTTAAGTAAATAAAATAAAATGTAACCATGTATTTTCAATTTTTTTTAATTTTTTAAGAACAACTTATTATAGGACTATTGTATTAAAAATTCAGATGTCAAACTTTTTGACAAAAAAAAACAAAAACGTTAGGTATCATAAATCATACATGAATCGAAGAAATTTAATATTTCAGATGACACAAAAAGAGCCACAATATTTTCAAAATTATAACTTCTCTACCACAAAATGCTATGTAGTATAAATATTTTAGTGAACATTTCAAGAATCTACGGTTATTTATTTTGGAATTACAAGAATAAAAAATTGATTACTTATGTCAAAAACTGATGGTTCATAAATATTCCCGTTATTCGGTAATTAATTTTTTTGTTTTTATTAACTAGCCATTTAGTAGCTTGGAAATTACTACAAACTAGATAACATTTTCTGCTAAAGCATTTATTCTGGTATAAAGACGTGTCTTCAGAGTTTGGACACACACAAAAATAATAATTTTTAATCCAATACATCGCCCCTTTCAGAATCCGATTGATTTGAGTTTTTAATTTTGTGGTTCTTTCATGAATTTTTGGTCAGCAAATATTTGGACTGTGATTTGGTAATACTGGTAAAGGGGAATAAGTAAATTACTATTACTACTATATTTTTAGGGCACGGAAAATAGTCCGATTTCTGAATGCGGAAGTACTGTATACTGTGTAGAATGGCTTTTTCATTTTTCATAGATAATTTAAGATAAGAACAAATTCATGTATTACATTTGTATAGCCATGACCCATGTAGGTAAAAAATATAAAATATAATTAATAATAATATATATAATAATAATAATACATATTATTATTAAGGAGATTCCATTCCGATCGTTTTTAAGGAATTTAATATAGGCAATATACTATGTTAAGGTGTGTGCGTTGTAAATGATCATTATTGTTTATTAGTGTGTGTGTGAAAAAATAGTCGAGAGCTCACATGCGTACACACACGTCTAAAAATTTACTATTCACAAATATTAATTTTTTTTTTTTTTTTAAGTGTATCAACCTTTTACCAATATTGTAAATAGTAATCTGTATATAAATATACAATTTTAAACAAGTTACAATTTCTAAAGACATGTTTGAATTCTTTGTCACAAAATTAATTTGAAAACGATTTCCTTATACATTTTAATTAATTTTTATACTTAACGTGATTAACATTTTAAAATTCTCAAAATTCAAAATTTAAAAATCTAATTTTGAACGGTTTACGTTGTTTAACACTTTAACTTCAAAAACTCGTTCTCGAGTAAGCTTCAAGGTGAATTCCCGAATTCACGAATTATTATGGTTACACTATTGCCGAAGTTCTATCCAATTCCTAGGATAGTCGGAACAATTGGCACGAGATAGGTTAATCTGGATGAAAAACACAGTTGGGATCGAATGCCCTAATAGGTAGGTACTTGGTTATAAATTATAATAGTTCCTACCTATTACAAAGAATAGTTCAATACTTATGATACATTCCAAGTAGAGTGATATTGTAACCGCCTTGGCGCTTTCATTAAGTCGTATAAGAACTCGTTTACTTACCGTGCGGATCCAAGCAACAACAGGCGTCGTGCAATAATTTGTCAGAGCAGTAACTGTACACACTAGAATCGCAATACGGGCAGCCATTGGGTCGTCGTTTCATGTTTAATCTACCGTTTTCCGGTGGTACGTCGTTCGGTTCGTCGGTATTCTCTCCTGCTTCCGATACTTCAGGTGCTTCGGCCTCGACCGATTGGACTTCCTCTGCTTTGATCGCCAATTTTTTATCTGACGAAAATGAGACATAGTTGAAACATATTAACTATAATAAAATTAATAGTTATTTGATATTATAAGACTTTATCATTATGTTCAAGCTATTTTAAGGTCAAAACTCTTGGTCAAAATTAATTCACAAATATTACAATTTTATTTACTCAAATAATATTTTACTTTCTGCATTTTCCATTTATAATAATATACTAGTATTAAACTACCAAGCCAATGGCATATGAAAAATCAAAACGATTTGTCCATATTATAATATAATTTGTACATAGTCTTATAAGTCATGACTCCACTTTGAAGTTAGGTACCCATATAAATATAATATATATAATTAAAATAATCTTATCACACACAGTTTATTATTGAGATCGTATTTAAAAAATAATGTGAATTTAACAGCTATTAAAATATGAATAGCTTTATTAGAATAATTATGATTTCAATAATCAAACAAACTTGTTGACTTCGCATACAAAATATAACAGCTGATGTATAAATAGTTAATAGTAGACATAATATTTTATAATTCAATAGATTTTATAGTATGAGTTCTATATTTTATGAAAATACAATATTTGTCGTTTTTTTTAATAAATAAAAGTTTTAACTTAATTTAATACATTCAATATTTTGAAATATATATTACTTTTATCGTAGGTATTACATTCAACCTTATTTCAGTAGAATATTAACAGACTATACAAGCCACAAGCATTTTTAAAACATAATAAATTATGCTTTATATTTTATTATTGGATAGTTATTTCTAATTACACTTCATAATTAAGTGTAATTAGAAATTATTAAAGTAATTATTACTTAGATAACCAGGTAGTTAAGTATAATATGGCTTTTGATGTTAGCTTTAATAAAATATATAGGTACCAATTCAATTGATTTTACAACTGTATGTCTGTATTGTCTATAGTCTATACCTACCTAACATGTAAGTTTGAACATTAACATTTAAAAATAAAAAATACACAGCCAACATTTTTTTTCTATAGCGATGTAGCTTGAATGTGTTCAAAGTATTGTAATAGATAATTATTACATTGATGAAACTAATTTATAATTTATTTGGAACTACTTGAAAACACGTCGTTTGCCTGAAATACAATAATTTGTTTTCAATACTTACACAAGTGTTAGCTAAATTGCATATTTAACTCCTCGTAATATTTTATAATTTATTCATTTTTGTATTATGGATTTGCATAATATTATAAATTGATTAATGGATGATCAATTTTAATACCATTTATCAATCTGTATTAAATAATTATCCAACCGAGTAAGCTTAAACCATTTTAAGTCTTTATAGTTTATATACAGTCACAATTATTATATCATAATTTTTTGCATTTTATTTATGATTTAGGTAACTATTATTGAGCAATAACTACTATTGATATTACTCGACATCTTAGTATATAAATACATACCAGTATTACCAATATATATATTGTATTCATGGTACATTTAACAAAGATTGATTTTATGTAATTATTCAGTGATTTATTTACTCAGCGTCACGACCTGATTTAGTCTATAAAAAAACTGACACAATGAGCTCATAGCTGACTAGTTACAGCTTTCTTTTTATAAAAACGTTTATTAAATATAAAAATGTTCAAAGATGATCATATTCACTTAAATGCGTGTTTGTTGTTTCATTACAAACCTAATTATGTTATAATTTATACGTATCGACGTTTTGTGACATTTTATTTGTATCAAATCTAATATTATTTTATCTTTTAAATGATAATTTCAGATAGGTAACATAAAACACAAGCACATCACTGAAAAGGTCAATAAATATTGTATTTTATAGGTACTCTCTTATGTGGTGAATATCAGTATAAGACATGCCTAATATCTAAGTACTCTACCAAAAATTTACATTGGTGAAATAGTAACCTAACCTATTGTTTTCAAAATTATAATATTAATTTATTACATAAATGTAATTCAATTTAAAACTTAAATGATTCTTTTTTGTGTAGGCTTGATATCAATTTGCATATATTATATATTATATATTATTACCTATTTAAATACTTAACTTAAAATAGCCCAGGCTTTAGACCTAGTTCTACGATTTATAAAGTGTTAAAAAACCTACACGCTATGAATTATATTTTTAGTTGTTGTGTATAGTTATATTGAGGTCAAATAGGTTCTTTTAATTTGGATTTTAATAACGGGTATGGAAGTTTGCCAAAATGTTGATAGTATAATTTATTCAAAATATGACCCTAAGAAGAAAATATACATTAATCAGTTCAAAAAATTATGCGTACAACTTTCACCATAGTATAAAATTATTAATAGTATCTTCTACGTTTTCTAGTTTTAAACATAAATCCATCTAAATAAAAAATTTTTAAAAAACTTTTAGATTCTAAATGTTGTATTACCATATTAGTTATTAGGTATTTTCATTTCTGTCAATTAAAATACGATTTAATATATTATGTTCCCACACAGCATGAAAATATTTCCTAACTATGGTAAAAATATTTTCAGGAAAATAAGATAGTTGTCAAAATATTTAAAAAAAAAGTCACGTGGATAATTAGGAAATATTTTAGTTATATTCTTTGGCCAAGAAGTTCATATTTTTGAAAACATATTACTAGACATTTTAATCATATATTTTCAAAAACCATTTTTACCGAAACTTTACAAAAATATTAAGGCAACATTTCTATGCAATCATATAGTACAATATTTTGTTATAGGTAATGAAAAGAAAATATTTATAAAATATTATTAGTCAAATTTTCATTATTCAAGCACTTTAAAAAATTCACAAAATATTATTATTTCCCAAATTCTGTGTGGGAATTAAAGACTTGGTAATATCAAATAATTTTCTAAAACTATCAAATACGCGTTAATTGACACCTAAATTAAAAAAAATAAAGTGCTACTATAAGGTTTTTTTTATTATGATCGATTGTTATTTAGTATTTATTTGAAGTTTTAACTATTTATTTATTAAATAAACATGTATTATTGTAAGAATTACGATGTTTTAAATATAAATACAATAAACTAAATAATAATAATAATAATAATAATAATAATAATAATAAAATAATCTTCAAATCGTTAAACAAATTAAAAAAAAAAAATAATACATTTTTTTAACGTAAATATGTACTTGGGTGAAATACAACTTGTTTTTCCAACCAATTTATTTGTTTGTATACAAACACAAATCAAGTGTGATGAAAAAACTTATAATTTAAGTATGGATTGAAATTTTTTGTACCTTGTATTATTCTCTGACTCCCTAATTTGATAAAGTTATAAAAAATTAATTTAGAAAAACAATTATTATGATTTATGGGTAATAATTGTGTAGGTATTGGTACTGTAACACTCGATTACCTATATGAGTATCGGTCTAATCACATTATTTGAATCTTTATTGGATTATGAATACGTTTGAATTAATGTACCAATATAATAACTACTAAAGCAATATAAAAGTTAAGTGGGGCCCATTATAATCTTCTAGAAGAATAAATAAAAATAAAATACTTAATTCTAATAATATGTATAATCGGTATAGAATGTATTTTGAGTCCTAATTTGTTTATTGATGAGCTAAATACTATGTAATAAAATAGTTATTTAATGTTATAGGTATCGGCTACAGTTTATACTTTATATTATTACATTATAGATGTACTATGACTTTTTCTTACTTTGATGTAGACTAGGAGACCTCGTCGATGTAAAACCGATACAAATGTACACAATATTGACCACCAATAACAATTTAACCAATTTTCGATTGTTCGCCATTACAAGTACCTAACCTGCAGCAGTCAACGAGTTCAAAAATTTAGTTTAACAACAGTTACTCGTATGACAATAGACCGACATTTGGTCGAGTACAACTCGTCTTTAAACAGCGAAAACGTAACGAAACAAAAAAATTTTAAAAACAATAAAAAAAACAACTATAAATTCACTGAGTCAAACGGATATTTACGTAGGTATGTGCTCTTTTTATGTTTATTAAATGTTATAATATTTCCGTGACTTAGACCGCCGCTTCGCAAATTAATAATATTGTTATAGGTATCTTGTACGGTCACTTTAACTGACACTGTTAATCAACACACTGCCACCACTGCGATCATGGAAGTCACCGGTTTTCGTTCAGAGATCCCGCTTTTTCCCACTAACATAATATTATGCGGCCGATTTAATTAAGACGAAACACTTTCATTCCGTCTATATCGGTGGCAATGTTTCCGGAACTGATAGACGAGTGGGGTTTATGCAGTGTTCCGGTTCAGCTGAGTTCAGCACACCATGTAATAGGTACAAAAAAAAACTCCAGTAATATAAAATGACGGAAATTCGTTGAAAACCAAACGTAACAATACACCACCGTTATTTTTTTGCTACAAACCGCATTTGTCACTCTTAAATAGCCAATACTCACCAAATTACTATTATCATATTAATTCAATTGAGTACCTATAACAACGATGGTCGTTTTTACAACCTTTAAAAAAAATTAGTTAACTCGAAAATATCTAAGAAAAAATAATTTTAAGTATACAATATATTATATAATATACCTATTTATACAATTTTGTATACAAAAAAAATGTTATGAGGTTCCTACCTACTTGAATATTTCGGGTTCTTATTGTCTTAAGTAGGTACAACTCTTATAAGATATATTATATTATTATAATACTCGTATACCTGATCGTATATAAACGATTCACTATTTTGGATTCTGAGCGGAGCGATGAATGTATTAATTTTACAATTATGTATTGATGTGTGTGTGTTTTTTTTTTGTCTACAATCAGCTTTTGGGGCAGTTTAAATGCTTCGATTTTAACTCTAAAGGCGGTTGTGGTAGAAAATTGGATATAGTTGGAACTTTAGAGGGGGGGGACAAATCAGGAAAAACAGAAGTTTTTAAAATCCGTGTTAGACAAAATCAATTTTATTTTATTAGAGTAACTCAACAACAAATGACCTTAGATAATTCATCAAATGCTTATATTAACATTTTCTTTTAGTTTTAGATTTCTAAACCTAAGTTAAGAACACCTTATAAGTTATAGATATAACCCCTTTGTGTCCGTCCGTTAGTTACCACTTTACCAAGCACCAGCACATATATATAAATAAGATTGTTGATACTTGATATAGGTTAGACTTAGACATAGTAGTCACTGTCATAGTCACAATTGTTTGTATTAAGATAATAAGATTGTACAAAGGATTTGTATTATGATTGTTCTATTCAAAGTAAATTTATTGTAGACGGTATTATAAAGTATCAATATTTGAGTAGGTATTTAATTTAGATTCATATTAGCCAATATAAAAAACCTATTGGTACCAAAATATAAAGGTTACCAAATTAACTTGTATATTTAACTTGTTTTTATATTCATTTATTCTTCAGGAAGATAATGGCCCCCACTGAACATTTCCGTGTTTATGGAATAATTATAGATTATTGTGTTGTATTAATATATGTTTAGAAACAGGGAATTCAGCACAGGGTGTCAGGGTGGAGCTTTCATAATTTGTTTTTTTGTTAAAATATGTCGATAAGAAATTATTCATCAAAAAGCTTGAACATTTAATATAAGGTTTCTCCTAAGAAGTTCATACCGTAACCAAAAAAATCTAGAAAAGTATATGAACAGAGTATTTTTATAGACATTTGAAGTTCAAATTTGGACGAAATTAAATATATAATTTAATAGACGAGTAACGATTTTAGTTATTTTGTTGTAATTCAAATATATTATTACTTATAAGTGAGTACTTGCAACTTTCAATAATGTATTATTATATTTTATATACACAATATTACAATTTCATATGCAATGTTATTCTACGTCTACCTAATCCTAATGTATTAACTACTATTAGTAAAGTAATTTACTTTGATAGCGATATAATACAAGGCTGGGCATTAACGAGTTAATAAGTTAAAGTTAAGTTACTTTTAACTAAGTTAATTAACGAGTTACTTTTTTTTATTAGAAGTAACTTCTAACTTAACGAGTTAAATTTTTTCCCATGTTATTCAGTAACTTACGACTTATACGAGTTAATTAATTTAATTGTCACATTAAGTTAATTTTTTCCTAAACCAGAAATTTTAAATTAATTAATTAAAAAAAAAAAAATCAAAATATTAAATACCTATATTAATTAGTAAATAATAATTCATAATAATAGTTATTACTTATTAGTTATTATATTTCATATTCACAGAAAATATTATATAACTATATTATAAACATAAATGTTATTTTGGTAATTCCGAGTCATTAATAATTAATAAAATAAAAATATAACAATTTACTCAGTGTCCCACACACGTTTGTAATGTTTGTAGACTCATTAGTAATTAAATACCTAATCATTATTAATATTATTACTTATTATTATATTTTTATTCATTCATAGAATTACAGCGTTAACTTGGCCCGTCGGTGTAAATAATTCAAACCGTAGTAGCGTGGTAGTTTCATCGTATTACTATTTACCTAATTGAATAAAATACCCGGGAGGCTGATTCATTTTTATTTTTCAATAAACCACCAATAATTTCTGGCCATAATATTATTTATAGTGGAGTAGTGGACATAAACAAAATATAGTCTTTCAGGTACATCCAAATTAAACGAAATTAAAAATACCATCCACTCATGGCCTTCTCCACCAGACTTTACAAGGACAATGGAAACCTCAGTCAACAGAATCCGTATAGGACATACATCACTAACACACCAGTATCTGATGAAGAAGGAAGACCCACCCCTATGTGCCAGCTGCGTACTCCTCTCTCAATCAAACACATCTTAACTGAATGTCTTTCATACGAAACGGATAGACGGGAAGCAGGCATCTCAAACATTCTGTCAGAAGCCCTCCACCCAGACAACATAAGACTCGTAATAACCTTTATTACTAAGTCTAACCTTATCAATAGCATTTAATATGTAAATTATATAACATGTAAATAATTTAGAGTTAAACTCATTGTTGCCAATGGCCATTGTTGCCGAGGCTTATTTTAAATAATAAAAAAAAAATAAATATAGTCTTTCGAGTCTCGACTGTGTCACTTGTCGTTAATTATATTATATATTATTGTGTAACCAATTAATTATATTCTAATAAATGATAATGAATTTGATTATTATAATATTTTAGTATAGTTGTGGACCATTTACATTACCAAATACATAAAAACCATTTAATTATTTTATTGGATTTTTAAAGTATAATAGGTTATTATAAAAATATAAGTACCTACAGTAACTAATTTTGTTACAAATAGTTATTTAAAAATTTTTAAGACGTTATTGAATCATTATGTTATTTGTTAGCTTTAAAAAATAGTATTATTATTTTAATATTTTAAAAAAAAAGTTTTTAACCAAGTTGAGTTACTTTTATTTCTAATTAACTTGTAACTGTAACTTTTACAAGTTAAAAAAAATAACTTTAAACTCAACTTACATTTTTCTATACTAACTTAACTTAACGTGTTTAAAAAAATAGTTTAGGTAACTTGCCCATTTGGATATAAATATATAATAAAATAGGTACATACATATTAGTTATTACTCAGTAATAGGTATAGGCTGACAGACCACCTTTGCTCAGTATATCGTTTTTCTAATTCAATTATTGATCATATTTTAATGGCTCATGCCAATTTAAAACGTTCGTTGCAGTTATACTCACCTACTCCTCAATGCCGAGGTGTACACTCCCCGCCTACTTTACAGCAGATAAGCGGATACTTATTACTTTCCAACTTTTAAAAATAATTTTCTTTACAATTATATTATATTATATAGGTACCTATACTACTTTGAATCTTATAATTTTATAATAGTATTATAACTTATTTTAATTGAAATATTCCCCCACTCATTTTTACTACCGATTTAAACGTTACCGATCAGATCAATTTCTCTTTAATTTGAAATGGTTGAATAAGATTTACCTACACATTTTTTTCAATTAGGTATATCGAACCATAAATTAATTTTCTATACATAGTGAAGGCCGATCCTGTTTCTGCAGAGTGCAGACTATATTATTATTCTATAGTTAGTAGTTTCGTAGTTTGACGAGTTTGATAAAAGATTAATATAATATTTTAAATAATATGGATTATAGCTGGTAGGTATAATAGTTATTAACTGTTATTAAGATACATGATCAGTTCCGCAACTACCGCCGGTGCAGGCGATGCAAGGCACCACCTGATGGGCCTACAAAATGTAAATTTCGGGGCCTCAGATTTGTAGGAACTTTTTTTTCGTATATAATAAATAAAAGCAAAATAAATTATAATATTTAAAAAAAAAGTTATTTCTTATCAGCGGGATATGTAAATGTGTGATATATTATTCAATTTTGTAATCAATTTCGTCTGAAATAAAAGTCTATTTTTATACATACTGGAACACCACATGGGCCAACTCTCACCAATCACAACAAATTATATGATTATACAACGCAGTAATTTAAAATATAACTTATAAGTAAACACTTATCATACGATTATGAGAACCGTCAACCGTCAGTCCGTCACTCCCTCATTCGACGTTCATCAGTATTCAGTAGATTATTTATAATTACAGAAATTATTTGTTTATTGTTAGCATTTTGTATAATAAAATTGATTTGTGTTATATCGTTAATTAATAATTATTAACGTTTGTTAATTGTTTCTATACTCTATTATACGTTTTTGGTAGACGGTAGTATAGATTTAGTTTGTTCTTAATTAA